CTAAATTATAAATCAGCGTCGAAATCAAGCCACAACACTAAACGCTGACATAAAACTATACACACAATCAAAGTTCAGAATTCTAAAGCAAAGCAAACTAAATCAAATCCACACAATTACATTAAGTACATAAGTTTTTTAAACTAGTAGAGAGTTCAAATTCTTTAATTATGTTGTCTCATCTTCAGTGTTTTCTCCTCCTCTGATATCTCTCATTGACTAGTAATGAACATACAAATTGTAGAAGGGTCAGTACGGGAACTGATTAGTCAAATTTTCTTCGATCCATCTTTTTCCTTTAAACATCTGCACTAATCCTGCTTCAAATGTTCCAATATGATAAAAAAAAATTTTCATCCTCCAATCTAGGTGATCAAAAAGGTACTTAAGACCTCCTATTGCATTCGTAATACTCTGAAGTTCTCTTTCAATTTTCTTCAATATCTTTTCCATAGCAAGTGAACTTCCAATTGTTTGTGGCATCAATGAGGTTAAAGCATGTGATAAATGATCCAAAATAATATCTAATGCTTCATTCCCATTACCAACATAATTATCATCAATATGTAATAAAATTTTTTCTCAACTTTCATATTGAACTTGAGATTGACTGCAAAGTAGAAAAATTGTGGAAGGATGTCCAAGTCCATAAATTGACACATTCATACTAATACCCATAACAGATTTCAATATGATAGATTCTATATCAATGAGTTTTTCTATTTGAATGCAACAATTCAAAATAGTATTTTCTTTGGTGACTCTACTAATCTTTATGGTATAGAGTAATTTTGCAGAAATGAAGAAATGTCACTGTTTTGATATTGGATTAAGCAATGAAACATAGAAACTAACATATTATTCATCTCACATTTCCCAAATATCACTTTCATCCGTCAGAAAATTATAATCTTACATTAAATCTCTTGTAGGGATGAAATTTGTATAATGACATATTGGAACGTTTTCTATCATATACAACTTATTGATTCGCGCAGGAGTAAATGGTATAGCCTTAACTCGTACGAAGACAACTCATTGGGTAATTTCATGTAACTTGACATAGAATTCATTCACTATTGGTACAACAACTGCAGCGGTAGTGCAGCACAAAACTTCTCATCGCCTTTGTACAATGATTTTATCAATCGGAGAAATTGGATTAATCAATTCGTGATTGAAAAAACCTCTCTCCTTGATACGTCTCTTCTTTACAATAATTTTGTCATATAATCTTTGCGAGTCAAAACTGATAAACTTTCTTCTATTGAAAACTCCATACCTGAAAGTACTTCTGGAATTGGAGGTCATGAAATTCGAAAATAGGAAGTTTCTAGTCGTCCAAGATAGGTTTTAGGACTTTAAAAACTTCTCCCGGCAGTTATTACGGAGCGAAATCCCACCAAAGTCCGCCGAAAAGGGCAAAACTGTTCTCAGCGCCTGCCGACACTTTGGTCTGTTTACGCGGGTGCCGTCAGCGCCCATTCTTGCACCGTCGGCGCTAGTGGCAAAAAATTGCGACTTTATCATTTTTTCGATCAATTCGATTACAAATTTTCCTCTAATACAAATATTTGTCTTAATTTATAATGTATAAAATTGTGTGAGATTATTATCTACTAATATATAAACACTTTATCTATATATATATATGTTGTCTCTCATAAATCGCTTCGTTTAACGTCGTCAGCCTGACATACCATTTGATTAGTTGGGTTGACTTAACATTAAAACTTCTTTAAATTATGGTATGTGCCCTTCATAATAATGTTTCAATCCATGTTCATTAACTTTAAATAACTTTCCAGTGTTATGATTTTTAACAACAACAGTTCCATAATGATAAACTTTAATCACTTTAAATAGTCATAACTATCTGGATTTCACTTTAAACCCACATAAAGAAGGGCAATCGACCCTCAATTCAATGTTTTGAATAGGTCCCAGATCACTAGCAGGCTTCCGCGTTCACTTCAGTTCACGAGATCGCAAGAAGGCATCCTTGGACGCAGGCGCTCCCGCATCTTTATGTGTCAAATTATGTGAATGCGAGTAAAAGGGTAGTTGTAAAAAGACAACATATTCATTGGACACCTTGTGCAACACATGTACTGACATAATGTTAGAAGATGTAGGAAATTTGAAGATTCATAAAAGCACACTTGAAAAAGCAAAATAAGTTGTTAAATTTATTTACGAGCACACATGGGATATTGAGTTGATGAGATCTTTAAAAAAAGATAGAGAATTCGTTCATTCATCATCATACGGTTTGTTGTTGTATATTTGACTCTTCAAAAAATTTACCAACTAGAGCAATTACCTCAAGCAATGTTCTCCTTAGAAGCTTAGTATTCTAATCAATGGGTAAGAAAACAAAAGGTATAAATGCTTAAGTTAATATTTTGTTCGATCCATATGGTTGGGGTCATCTTGCTTATTGTATCAAGAGTGCAATTCTTCTTTTATGTGTTATAAGAAGAGTTGATTCAAAAGAAATGTCAGTCATAAGTTATATTTATGAGTTAATAGATTCAGCAAAAGAAAAAAATTATTTTTAATTGTGGCCACAAGAAAAAGAAATATGAACCTATTTTGAGAAGAATGATGCAAAATGGGAAGTCCAACTTCATAAACCATTATATGTGGCTAGTTATTATTTAAGCTCTCACTATTGGTTTGAAGATAATTTCTTTGATGACAAGAGGTGAAGCAATACTTAATTGCTTGTATGGATAGAATATTGGATTTTGAAAATCGCCAAGCTGATATTCAACTAGAATTCTATAATAACTTAAAATGATATTTTGGGAGTAGAGTTGATATAGACCCAAGCAAGTTAAGATCTTCTGCTGATCGGTGGAGGAGATTTGGTGGAAAAACACCAAAAATAACAAATTTTACAATTTGAGTTCTTAACCTCACCTGCAATTTATCTAGTTACAAAAGAAATTGTAGCACTTCTGAATCGGTAATAAATTTTTACGTTATAAAATTCTTAATATTTGCTTTTATATTTTTATTTTTTAAAATGATATTTTTTAGCTTAAATTCATACTAAGAAGACGACAAGTTGGAGCACATGAGATTAAACAATTTGGTGTATTTAAGATACAATACTAAATTGAGAAAGAGAAATATAAGAAAAAAATAAGACACTTTGATAATATTGGTAAATGACATGGACTTTGATGATAACTGGATTATTGAGAAAAAAAAATTTGATGCTTCCAGAAGAACCTTCTTTGGTGAATGAAGAACATGTATTAAAGTTTGATGCAATCAGAAATGTGCTCACAAAATCTTACACAAAGAAGAAATGATGTTTTACAACATACTCTCATAGGAAAAGGAAGTTGAATGAAAAAATGAGTTCTATATTTACTTTTAATGGTCATTTACACAATTACACATTCTTATAGGAAAAATATCCTAAATATTTATGATTGTCATTTTGTTTATTTTTATAATATAGTTACTAATGATAAAAAGAAACAAATTGTGAATGCACAGCATGACGGTGACAAATTGACTAGGCAATAAAATGTAGCAACATGAATGACCTAATTGTAATTTGGACAACTATTGGTGAAGAAGAAGAAGATTTTAAGGATAAACTTGAAGTTCAATCACTCAGATCCATTGGGCATAACTAAATTATTTTTTGACTCAAACATCTTTACTTATTTTTATATGTTTTTACTTTTTTAGTAGAATTAAGCTAATAACTTCAATATTTTATTCCTAGAAGACTTGTTTTTAAATTAATGAGTATAAATTCTTATTTTTATTTTTAATAATTATGTCTTATATTTCTAAAGGCCTTCATTTGAGTAGAACTAAAACTTAATGAATGGAATGTAATTTTAGTAATAGTAACTCTAATGACAGAAGTGTAACTTTGGGTGATCAAATTATTAAAAGGTGTGAACGATTTAGATACTTTGGTTCTGTCGTTCAAATATAAATGAGGATGTTTATAGTAAAATTCAAGTTGGTTGGTTGATTCAAGTTGGTTGGTTGAAGTTTGAAGTTGAGGAATGCTTCTGGCCTTTTGTGTGATAGAAATGTTTCGCTTAGACTGAAAGAAAAATTTTATAAGATGGTGGTGAGACCTGTAATTCTCTATGGCGTTGAATGTTGGCCTCTAAAAGAAAAGCATGATACTAAGTTAATTGTTGCCGATATGAGAATGAATAGGTGGATGAGTGGCTTTACGTTTAGAGACAAAATGAGAAATGAATATATCTGTGATAGGGTCGGTGTAGCTCCAGTAACTTACAAAATTAGAGAGAGTCGTCTTAGATGGTTTGGTCAAATTAAATGCCGACCATCTGATGATCCGATTAGGAGATTAGATGTTTTAGATTCGACTTATGTTAAGAAAGGCAAAGGTAGACGTAGAAAGACTTGGGCTTATTGTATAAAAAATGATCATAATTTATTAGAACTAAATGAAAATATGACACTAAATAGGATGCAAAGGAGAAAAATGATTCATGTAGCAGACCCCACGTAGTGGGATGAATGTTTTTTTGTTGTTGTTGTTGTTGTTGTATACGTCTTATATTTCTTTTATGTTGTGGGACTTATGCACGTTGTTTTAGGGCTTCTGTCTCGCTCCGTAATAGCTAAAACGCCCTCGCCTTCTAAAATATTGATAAGAACCAAGGAAAATTTACATACGTACCACACAATTCTTATGTATTTACATAACTCACACCTAAACATTGATATTTACATACATCGCACTTTGTTGTTTCAAGCCTATGCATGAAAAAGTGTATTTCACTTTTAAAATTTGATAGTAGTGCTATTTTTATATAATATTAAAGATTTGTGTGTTATGTGTGTAAATATGAAAGTTTAGAAGTGAGAAATGTAAATACATAAGAACTGTGTGCCATTATGTAAATGTCCCTAAGAACAAACTTAAATACAGACTATCTAATGAAACAGTAAGTTAAAGTATAAAAATACTTGGAAACAAAAAAAGGTACCCATGAGAATATATCATCTTCACGAGAACTTGATGCTGGACTCATGAGACTCCTACTGCGAGCAGTCCATCGCTGCTCTATAGGAGCCGGAGCTGGCACATCTTCTCTCTCTATAAGCTTCTTCAACTCCTCCATATATTCCAAATCCTTCATGCTAGGACTTCCAAGTGTTCCTGCTGGGAAGCAAATCTCTGATACCCATTGCTGCCCACCACAATCAAAACCCAATATTTCATCACTCCAGCCAACACGGTACCCCTCTGATTTTTTCCAGTATTCAGCTTCGGCTTCGTTTACTTTTATGACATGATCTTTGTTAAGTGGGTCTAAAGCGAGAAGCTTATCCCTCAGCTCAGTGAAGGAAAGTTGATCTATATCTGGTTCATCGGGACTTTCACTAGTTCCACTAGATAAGTTTCAACAGATGAGGTAAATATCTCATTTATAAATCAACTACATAGCTAATAAACTTACCTATATTTCTTAAGTGACTGACGAAATAAATACTGGACATGTCGTACAGCTTCTTCTTCTCCAAATTTACGTGCCATGTTTGGCTTTTTCCACTTTGAAAAAGGATTACAACGTACAACAACCACAGTATCAGTATAAGGAATCCACAAGTATTTCAGATGTTTATATTCACCAAGCCATTTCCTGCAAATGTAGGAATGAAAACATTAATGGAATTCATTAAACATGGAAAGAAAAATTTATCAAATACTTTAATGGACATAGAATATCAAATATTGCTAAATAATATCATACAAACTCTGAAAAAATAATTTATATATTTACTTGTGATTTTTTCTGAGTTCATTAAAACTAGACACAAATGTATGCTCCACCAGCTCATGCCGATCAACACATTGAATGGTGACTTCTGCAACCACTCCCAGCCCACCCAGACTGCAGCGAACTAGATAAAACAGTTCTGGATCTTTATCAGGAGAAACCTCGATTGTTCCTTTGACGGGGGTCACTAGTTTCAGGCTGACAACCTGTTCGTCGATAGGAGGTAGCCTTGCTCCAGTACCATGGGCACCAACCTGAAGTGCGTAAGCATAAAAAAAATGAATAAAAATGTTTATTAAATGGCAAGAAGAAATATTATCTGGCATAGTCAACTGAGGCACTAATGACAAGCAGTATTTTGTGCATCTAAAAATATTTACAAAACTAGCCAGATAAGTGTCAAAATGGTCCCTTGATTTTTTTTATAGCGGGTCATTTTAGTCCAAAAATCTATAAAAGTGTGAATTTAGTCCCTAGACTCTTTTCATGGGGCTAAAATAATCCTCCTTAGGGACTATTTCAGCCCATTTTAAAAAGTTTAGGGACTAATTGGACATTTTTATTGAGTCTGGATCTAAAATAGTCTCATTTAAATAGCATGTGATAAAGCTAACTACGGATGAGCATAAAAAATGAATATAAATGTCTATAAAATGGTAAAACACAAATTAACAAATCATGGAAAGTAAGAGACGTGAAGAAATAATTTGAAAAATAAAACCAAATGGTTGAGAAACGAAGGGAGATGATGCAGTGCAGTTGAATGACTGCACTTATGAGCATGGTTCCAAATCAGGAACCCCAGTACAATTAAATGCAGAGAGTGGAAGAAAAATTAGGTTTTTTTTTTGTATGTAATCATGCAACAATAAATAAAGATTATTGACAATGTTATATATGAAACTTATCTGTAAATAGAGAGGCATAGATATGCAGAGTAAAGCTGGCAAAAGAGTTGAGGATAATCCTAATTAGGGAGACCCAGATGTGTAGAGTAGAACTGCCAAGAGGGCTGAAGATAATTTTAAATAGGGCATGCATCCAATAAAAGAGGAAGATGGATTTGAAAGATTAACAAATCAAGGGACGATATGGTACAAAGACTAAAGTGCACTGTACTTTTCAGCGAGTTCAACAAATTTACCTTCTTGGCAGATCCTAACAAACCCTATAGCCTTTTATCAGTGATGCCTATGGATGCAATAGAATAAAAAACATGGTTCTTTTTCTTTGTGTAGGCATGAGAGAGAGGATATGGATTGATTAAAGAGTAGAATTACATCAGGAGGAATCAAATAGCAGAGGGATTGTGAAGAGAAGAATCTTATCCGATGGAAAAAAACAGTAATGTGACTAGAGCTGCCATAATGTAGACCATGAATTAGTTAGCGAAGGAAAAAGCCCAGCTGCAATTCCATAGAATATTACTGTAACTGTATAATTAACTAATCAATCATCTCCATGTCTAAGACATCACTCCATGACTAATTCACGCTTACATTCATTTCTAGTAGATTTTTTGATGCATTTTATTGGGCGAGGAAGAAGATTGCAAGCACGATGTTTTCTTCGGGTATGTTTCGCTTGAAGGAAGTGGAGGTAATGCAAATGAATTTTACTTCACTGTTTCATATTGGTGTCTGGTATCAAAGCAAGTAATAGGCAATTTAATTTAACAAAGAAATATGCATGAATTGACAATTTCCTTAACAATCAAAGAGAAATGCTTAAAAAAATAATGTTTCATCATTGTGACTAATATGTGTCAGGCTTGCTGAAAATAAAACCCAAAAATATAATCATCAAACAAGAAAGAAAGAAAAATAAAACTTCTAGCTCATTTTTTCTCAACTAAGCAAGAAGGTTAAAGCTAATTTTAAGTTAATTGCTTTATTGTTTACATTTCATTTTCATTTTCTCTCTTCCACTTATTAGAGCCTAAGGGCATTATAGATGTATAGGAATTGGAGAGGTTTGCTTTATAATTTTACATTAAATATTTGGCTCCAGTGTAAGATAATAGGTAATCGATTTTTTTTATTTAAAAAATATGAATAAATTCTTCTTTTAAAAAAAAAAAACAATTCCTTGATAAATTCTAGTAAACAATGGAAACAGATGATCAATATTAAAATCAATCAATTTCTCCTCGACCAGACAAGTTGGTGGAAAACTAATTTTGAATCGATTCCTTTTAACATTTTCCTTCTATTTCATCTCCTGCAACTCACTTGAACCAATCAGTCAATCTTAAAAGTAAAAGATACAGTGCTATTATTACTGGATTATTACAAGAGCAAAATAAATTACTAGAACGTTAATGTTTGCACGTAAAGGGCTGGCAAAGCCAAAGAACAAAAACATTCACCAAAAAACACAGTGAAAAGTAGAGAAAAGGAGAGATATTTGACAGAAGTGACAAAAATTAACATAGACCTGCACAATGCCGCCGATCTGCTGTTCCCTAATGGAAGCAAAGTTCTGTAGCGTAAGCCCGTGCTCTTTGAGGGCGTCCACGAGCTGCGAAACCCTAGCCCCTGCCTGCACCCGAACTCTCTTCTTCTCCTTATCCACTTCCAGCACCTTATCCATGAGAGCAAGATTGACCATCCCCGCTCTCTGCAGCCCGATCCCATTGGGCGAGAGGCCAGATCCAACAGGTCTGATCTTTTGGCCGTGCTCGTGAGCATCGCGAACAATCTTCTCAAGTTCCTCGAGGTTCTCCGGCTGGAGGAAGACGCGAGTGTAGACCTCGTGAGTTCCACTCCAGTTGGTGACAGCGTGAAGCTCTTCGGGCAGCGGAGCGTAGCGAAAGATCTGAGCCTTCTTGTGCTTCGCGTTCTCGGGGAATGGGAAGGAGAAGTAGGTAGCAACGCCGCAGCCGAGGACGAGAACGAAGTAGCCAGCGTACTTCCGGAACTCGGGATCTGATGATGAAGAGGAAAATGGGCGGATGAGATCGAGCTGAAAGCTAGGGTTTAGGGTTTTAGACCGGTTGAGGGAGGAGCGGAGCATGCCGGCGCTCCGCCGGTACTGGAGCCAACGCTGCATCGATCGAGTCTCTCTCTCTCTAAGAAAATAAAAAAAAAAGACATCCTCGATTCCCTTGTGTTTAGAAGTAAAATTATTCTATGAGGGCAGGACTCCTGACTTAGAGATAATTCAGAGTTCATTAATATGATGATATGTGTGTTTTTCTGTCATCCATATCTGTAATACAGGATAATATTTCTATTATGTTATTTTACATTATTCAAGCGTTATTATATTATTATAACACTGAGAATATTTTTCGAACACAATAACACATGAATACTATCACAATAAAACCTGAATGATGTGAAATAACACGGGATAAATATTTTTTTGCGTTAAAACGATTTTTTTTTATTTTTTTGTCACATTCATGTTGCGTCATTTTATTGGACTTCGGACGTATCTCTATATCTAGAGTCCGGATGTAATATTTATTTTATATTGACATACCTAGCGCGTAAACTTCAGTTTTTACATACCAAATAAAGTTTATTTCAGTTTTTTTTTTTAGTTAAGATGATGATATTTTTTATTTGATATAATTTGAGTCGTATAAATATAAAAATTAAAATATGATTTATATATAAATGAGATATAATTTAGAAAGAACGCTCATTTTTATTCTTATGTATTTGTATATCTGACAGCTAAATTTACATATTTTTATGTTTACATACATAACACTCTGTTGTTTTAAATCTATGCATAAAAATATATTTTTTAATTTTAAAAAGTTATACTATTATCATTTTGTATATGATATAAGATTTTGAGTGCAATATGTGGAATTTGGAAATATGAATGTTTAGATGTGAGATATATAAATACATAAAAGAATTGTGTTTATCATGAAATTTACTCAAGTGCCTTAAAAAATTTATGGTTAAGCTCTATATTCAACAATAAAATTTTACTATCTATATCACTTGAAACAATCAATAAAAAAATATTCATTTTAGACAGGATAATTTTTTTGAAAAATCACATACATGGCACAAATTTCTTTTTGATGCACATATTTATCACCTAGACTTTTTATATTTATATTTATAGCACGGGTATTGTAAATTTACTCGTAAAAAAAAAGGTTTATTTCACATTTTTTTTACTTTCTTTTCCATGGCTTCGTCTAGTACATATTTCTCTCTTTGTTTCCTTCGCGAGTCTGATCGTATTCCCTTCAGAATCTCGACTCCAACCATGGAATAGGATAGGCGGCACTCCTTTCGATGTCTTGTTATCAAAGTGCACTTCTTTTAAAGCTCCTAATTGGTATGCTTCAACTCTCTTCTTTCGCACCTTAAACTACATAATCCTCTTGTTGTCCTGCATTGTGGATATGACATGGACGATGTTTACAAAGCTCTTCATAGCCTCGGATAAACTCCAAACAACGCTAAGGTATCGTCATCAGCTTTTATTAAAGACAAACCTGACAAAGCTTCTCAGTAGGGCGACGAGGGCCATCACGCACACGTTGTAAGCATAATCGCAGACACGATAATTTCAAATGCACCCACTTTTGTAAAGGTCGTTGGCACATACGTGGGAATGGCTCCTCACATCCATATTCCGACAAATAGAGTATGCATCAATGATGTATGCTGTGAAAGTGATATAATGTCGGGAAAAGATGGTGTGGAGCAGACGACGGTTACAAATGTGTTGTTGTGGGTTCTCACAATGGGCTCAAGCACAATGAATTAGAAAATTGCCTATGAAGTGAAATTGAGGAAGGAAAAGGCGTTCAATGGTTACTTCAAACATTCCCTTGAATCATATGATTCCATAATACATATAGCGAGAGTTATGAGTTCTCAAACAAATGAAGCGAACAATATATAGAGTTGTTAGTTGATGAGTGCGTGAAATGAAGAAAAACGATAACATATATTTCAAAATACCTTGAATCGTATGATTCCAAAATACAAATATATATATATATATATATATATAATTGAGTTTCAATTCCTAAAAAAAAAAACTTCCAATTTATTAAAATTGTTGAGTGGTAAATAAATTTTTATACCATGAAGAATGTGATGCTATTTATAAATTATTAAAAGTGACATCTTGATTCTTTTGACCAAGATTTTAAAACATTCAATTGAATGCCCCTGTGTTAATTCTCTTGATCATAAATAATTTCTTAGGCACTTAAGTGTCATAATAATATTAAAATTGAGTGATGTTAAACTTGTTTGGTACCTTTCATTAAGAAACTTTAATTATAATCATGTAAGATTCAGAGGCAATTTGTTCTCTTAAATAATTTCAAGAAGTTTTAAAGTATGCTCCACATGCTCAATTTGGTCTCATATAGGCTTGCATTTGAATACTTTTGCATTGTTGGGATCATTCTATTTAAACATTCAACTTAACTATAAATTTGAAGGAATTGAAGATCTAAAAATATTTAGAACTGGCCTAATAATTGATGCTTATGATCATTGCTAACAATTGCTTGTCAATCATGCATATTCGATTGCATAACCCGCACACAATTACCCAGCTATTATCATCCTATTACTATCACCTCAACATCATGGATCAACTATCATTACCTAACTGTCATCACCTAACTTCCGTCACCCAACTATCTCACCCATCATCATCATATATAGTTAGCTTCTAACCATCATTAATAGTCGACAACAATGACATGTACCAATTGCTAGTTATTTCTTAATCATTATCATCACTTCAATTTTTTTTTTCAATATTTTATAATTTGTTCACATTAAATTAAGCTATTAACCCCTATTTTGTAACATTGTATTCTCAAATCATAAGAAAATTATTGGATAATCTCTATAATTATTATTCGTCCATGTAGATTATTTTGAATTGCTCATAAGCTTAAGCCACATTATTTTTTTTATTTTTTTATTTTTCACATAAAATTATGATATCATTCACAAACTTCTATTTTCTGCAAATCAATTCATTGAATTAATTATACCTGCTAAAGACTCAAAGCAAAGTGGGTGTTCCAGTTGCATGCTTCATTGTTTCACAGGAAGCTCGTCTAGAAGTGTTGCAATATTTCAATATGTTCCCTTATATAAATTGTGCAATATTATATGTATAAAACCATGAAAATTGATGTCACAAATAAATTCAACTCATCAAGCACAAAATTTGATGCATTTTGGATGAATTAATCTTCATATTTAATTTCACGATCATGTAACTCCGATCTCAATAAATTTATAATCAATTTTAATGCCAAAATGGGACGAACCTTAAAACACTAAAAATAGTCCAATTCATGTTTAAGTGAGCTCAAATCAAACACTCATAGTATTAAAGACTTAAAAACCATTAATTAAATGAGCAAAATTTCCACAAGTTTGGCATGTTATTTTCGGTCTCAACATCTCAGTGAGAGTAATCAAATGAGAAAAAAATCATTAAGTTTTCAGGATATAAGGTCACTTGAATATAAAAAATTATCAAAATATTTAATAAAAACCGTGCAAAAAATAGGTTTTTTTAAAATAATTTTGACTAAATCTACTCAAATGGTTATATAAAAATTCAATAAATGAAGTCTCGTGCTCTCTCTGAAGAAGAATGAGAGTTGAGAAAAAGCTCAGACCGATGAACAAGTATGGAGCTCTTCCAATCATCCAACCACCAATATCTATCACCAATCAATCACTATAGTCCGACAACATTACTAAACTACTGTCATCTATGACTATCTAATAACTACCATATTTGAATTGTGATATTCATTTTTTCTAAATTTATAGCTCTATTGCAAGTATAAAAGAGATAACAATTGCAAGTTGATATTATTTTGGTACACTTGGTGGCCAAGTAATGTTAATAAAGTCTACATGAACAATCTCAAATTGATATATATTTTAATATTTTAAATGGCTTCTTAGTGTTACTTAACCCGTGCTAACTTCGCTTAAGACTTATTTGTCCATATAAACATGCGTTTCCTCGGTCTATATTTGGTTATTAGAGCCTATAATAATCCCAACAAATCCTTGTATATTAGTACATATCATTCATTGAGAACAAAATCACATAGACAAAGTTAGTATATAAACTAATAAAGATACATTTTATGTACCGATATCAAAGGCGGACTCAGGTAGGGTATAGGGAGGGCAATTGCTCCCCCATAAATTTAGATTCTTATTTATATGAAATAACAATTTGATCCTTTTCCCCTATTGAAACATCGGTTTTGCCGCTTATAAAATATCATTTTGCCTTTCGTTTCCCTGACACGTTGGTCCAGGGGCGCAATTTGCCCCTCCTAAAAGTTGCATACTATTAGTTTTCATCTCTTACAATGGCTTTTGGTTGAGACTCAAGCTGAGTTAAGCCCATAATCTGAATCGAACAAATTATTTGATTCACATTTATGTCTCATGAGCTTAATATCTACCTTTCTCCAAAGTAGGGAGGAAATTAAAGTTTCATCACGCTCATCAAATTTTCCTATTATACGTATAAATCAATTTCAATGGTTCATGTTCCATTCATTTCTTTTTTTCTAGTTCAAATTTTAATGAAATATATCTTATATGTATATTTATGCCTCAAAATTTCAACTATTTTAATAAATAATTCCCATTATACAACTAAATAATATTCAGAATCAATATAAACTTAACTCAACATTTTTTTCTTGAAAATCAATGAACATAATAATTTCACTCTTAAACAAATCATTATGCGTGTAATCGAGTCAAGTTTGAGCGAGCCGAGTATTTGTTCGTGTTTAACTTGTTATATATCTTTTTTTATTTTAAATATAGATGCATTCCTATAAATCAACAATTAAATTACGTGATAAGAGGGAAAAAAAAAACTAAATTTCAATCCAATCAAATAGATATTTATTATTGCACATTATAAAATATTTCAAACACTTACCAAATACCAATCTATTAACAATAATGGCAAAACGTGCCTGATTTGACCCAACGCTCACCTTTATTGATAACCCCCCCCCAGCCACTAATCCTGCGTTAAATCTCGGGTGAATTTTTGGGTGCGCAAATTCTGGTGCACTTGGCATAATAAAACTTTTTTTACCGCCTCCCTTCTTCAAATATGTCTGGCTATATTTTATTTCCCAATGATCTCCAACCAGGGAAACCGTTTTACGTTTAAGAGAGTTATTGAGGGTACAGCGTACCGCTCCTTTCTTTGAGCAGTCTGAAAAACAGAGTAGGGATTTTTAATCGATAGTCTGGCTTTAATTCGAATCGAACTTCCGACTCTCACGCCGTTTAGGCTTCTGTTGTAGGTGGAGCCGAGGGGGCGGGCGCTGCTGATGTTCCAAGAAGCCTTGCCTATGGGATTTTGAATCTGTTTTCGGTACTTTGACAGAGGTATGGGATTCTGATCTGCGGACTCTTGTGGCGTGTTTAGTTTTAATTTTGTGGGGAATCTGATGATATGTAGGGCCTGTTTGTTAGGATGTTCACGGTTAAGAGATTTGTGGATCGTTTCATTGCTTTGCTTTCCTGGATCTATTTTAAAGGGTGGCTTTGTCTGCGCTTGCCTATCTCGGAACAATGTGGCATGTTTTTGTTGTTTTGATTGGGTGATGCTTGATCTGTTGCTTTTTAATCGGTTTTTGCTTGTTAGGTTATGGAAATCGTTTGCGATTCTCTTGAAATGTTGCAAATATTAGCATTGGGATTTGAAGATTGAGATTTTGGACGTATTGTTATGGGACAATGTCATATTGAAGCTAAGTATGTTATTGGGCCACCATTGCGACCGTGTCATGTATGTTACAAACTTGCCTTGTTGGGAAGTTTTGGTTCTTCCTTTTTGAAGTAGTAAATTGTGTGTTCTAATATTTTTTGGTTGACATTTTTTATTTATTTTCTTCTGTACTTCTCCACTATGTTCTGAACAAACATATTTGCTTGTGAGTCGCTAAGAGTGGCTAAACCAGTAAATTAGGTTTAACAGGTCACTGTTTGTGATCCAACCAGAACCATCTACAACTCGAAACTCACCAAGATTTCAGTCTCCTAAAGTTTGCAGTTGCTTAAAGTTAATTTTCGTCTAGTCGTCCAAGGATCAACTCTTACTAGACCCTCAGTTTTGAGCTACTTAACTCAAAACTCATCAAGTTGCCTATTTGTTAAGATTATTTTTCCAAGGAACTCAGCTATCGTGTTAAAAGAACTCGGCAAGGATAATCTCACTCAGTATGAAACCCTTTAAACTTTTCCAACTAGCAATTGACCTCAAACTAGACTTATTTGTCGTGCAGTCAACTACAATGAGTCCAAATCATATATTTTCTCTGTAAACAAGGACAAACATCAAGCGACATTGTATTTTAGGTTGAAATATTGTTCTAATGAACTCTCACTAGAATAGCTATAAATTTCTTCTGAGTTTTTTCTCCATATTTCTAAATTCTCCGTGAGCATCATGTGTTACATTATATTTTAGGTTGAAATTTTGTTCTGATGAACTCTCACTAGAATATCTATAAGTTTCTTCTCAGTATTTTCTCCATCTTTCTAAATTTTCTATAATTTGGATTGATTGATTCTTCTCCATCAAAGGAGTTCAATTGAATCTTCTACATTCTAATTGATTTAGGAGAACATTTGAGATTTATTTTCTCTCTTATGTTCTATAGTCTTTATCAATATCTCTAATAGGGTCATGTTATCCTTCTTTGAATTAAACTATATCTATTATCCGATAAGATGTAGTGAGCATATACATGAAAGAGAACCGCTTTAGTAACCATATTGAGTACACGGAAAGGTCATTGCACAACGAGTGACTTGACAATTTTGTTTCCTTTGAGCGGTTTAAGGACATGGAGGATTGTTTCATGAGGGGGGTCGGGGGGATCTTTAAGCGCTTGCTTTAATTCTTTGCTCTTGCCCATTTCCTTAATGAGTGCGAATTATCCCTCCAAGGTGTCGACTCTTGTTTAACCCTAGGGTTTGTGCTTTGACTCTTTCTGACGTTGATCTCGACTTCTCATAGGATAGTATAACAAAGGCTTTTCTTTTCATAAATCAACGAAGCCCTAGGTTTAGCCTTCACAATATTTTAAAGTGCAAATTATGGTAGATCAACTTCTATCAAAAATCAACATGTTTGTGCAACATCATTATAGAAGAAATTGAATTTGATCAACCACTCTTTTCATTTTGAGTCGTAATCCTTCTCCTCACCCTTAAGAATGCTATGAAATGGCGGATCTTATTGACCACTCTCAAGGAGGCACCATTGTGGTTATTCTTTTGTCTTCCTTTTTGGCATTAATTATATAAATAGCCTTTTTAGAAATACATGCCTTTTTAATTGTCACTTACTAGGAACCAATTCTTCTTGATTTGCTTCTTTCTTGTTTTTCACTTTTTTAAGTGGAGGCATCCTCAAATGCTTATTGAGATCACTTGGTGGATTGAAGCTCTGCGCTTCATAGGCTTCTTGTATTTTTTTATTAGATTATTTTCTGTAAAGTCATGAAGGAGCTTAATTGAGTTAAATAAGTCATTTGTTGTGAACCAACTTAACCATGTACAGCTTGGAGCCTACCAAACTTTAAATTGCCTAAAGCCCTGAACTGATTAGATGCAAATTTCATTTAGTTGCCTAAGAAAAAATACTTACTCTATACTTAACATTGAGCTATTCAACCTGCTTGAGGACTACGGGAGTAAACGAGTTGAACATGAGCGATCTTAATACGCGTTTGTGTTTGGCTTTTTCAAAATTTATTTTGTTTGAATTCAACTTTTGTTTAAAGTTATTTATTAATATCTTATCTATATTTGATTTCTTTGAAATCCAACTAGCCTGTTTGACTCGTGTTTGGTTTGATTTATAAAAGGTTAATTTTTTAATCCTTCAATAAGATCAAATATAAAAAAAAAATTATAATCATTATGTGTGCATGTACTCGTGCATACAAGTGTATGCATGTTGTGTGCATGAAACTAGTTTTTTTAAGCGTAATGCAAGTTAATTGTGAAGAATGAGTTTTCTTTGAAGTTTTTTTGAGCACCCATAATGCTATCTATGTGCTGCTTGCTATGACTACTTTATTTTGGGCGCTATGCCTGTGATGCCCTCTAAATGCGAGTATATTATATGCTATATTATTGTTTGCATGATTTAAAATTGCACAATTAAGTAATGAAACGTTTTTTATTCATGAGGTGAAGTGTAAGCCTCTAAAGATTTTGATACGCAAGCCTCAAAATTTAAAAAATTACTTTAATAAATATTGTATAAATTATCAAGCGTGACATATGAAATAACATATTAATATCACAATTTATTAATCTATGTAATAGTAATTTAACAGCATTCTATTTAAATAAAGAGTAATAAATTACATTAAGTTAAAAGTAACATTCTCTTGAGCTGAAATTTAATTCTTATGCATAGCCAAAAATTATGCCATTTATTCTTACATGTGCATGTCTGAATTTTGTTAAACCCATTTGCTTTTATGATGGTGTGACTTAATTTGATTTTAAAATTCAAAAATTTCTCCATGAATTATTTATTTTCCTATTCTATCGAAACTAATTTGGAATCAATTTAAAATCATCTGTCATTTTTTGTTGGTTGAATTTCTAAATTTTTTATTGCTGCATATTTTTTTACCTCTTTTGCTATCTCGGCACACCACATAAAAGGGTGGAAAGTCTGTAGGACCTGATAATATCCCAATTTAAGTGTGAAAATATTTAGGAGATTTGGGAGTTTCTTGGCTTACTAAACTCTTCAATGTTATTTTAAAAACTAAAAAGATGCCTGAGGAGTGGAGGAAGAGTATTTTGGTCCCCATTTTTAAAAATAAAGGGAATGCACTAGAGTGTGCAAATTATAGAAGAATTAATTTAATGTGTCATACTTTAAAATTATGGGAGAGGGTAATTGAACATAGGTTATGACACATCACAAAGATTTCTCATAATCAATTTGGATTTATGCCGGGCAAGTCTACTATTGAAGCAAGTATAGAAAGAGTAAGGAGGATCTGCATATTATTTTTATTGATTTAGAAAAAAAGCTTACGATAAGGTTCCAAGAGATATCCTTTGGAGAGTTCTTGAGAAGAAAGGTGTTGATATGACTTATATTCAAGTCATTAAAGATATGTATGCTAGAGGTGCTACTTGTGTTCAAACTGAAGGAGGATTGACCAAATATTTTCCTATTTCTGTTGGATTACATCAAGGATCGACTTTAAGCCCATATCTTTTCGCTTTAGTTATGGATTGTCTTACTGGACATCTACAGGAGGATGTATCTTGGTGTATGCTTTTTGCTGATGATATCTTTCTCGTGGATAAAACGAGAGAAAAAGCCCAGGAAAAATTTAAATTATGTAGGGCTACATTGGAGTCTAAAGGCCTTCATTTAAGTAGAACTAAAACTGAATATATGGAATATAATTTTAGTAGCAGTAGCTCTAGTGACAAAAGTGTGACTTTGGGTGATCAAATTATTAAAAGCTGTAAACGATTTAGATATCTTGGGTCTGTTGTTCAAAGAGATGGTGATATAGATGGGATGTTAATAGTAGAATTCAAGTGGAGGAATGTTTCAGGCCTTTTGTGTGATAGAAAAGTACCGCTTAGACTGAAAGGAAAATTTTATAAGACGGTGGTGAGACCTGCAATGCTTTATGGCGCTGAATGTTGGCCTTTAAAAGAGAAGCATAATAAGAAGTAAAGTGTTGCCGAGATGAGAATGATTAGGTGGATGAGTGACTTTACACTTAGAGACAAAATGCAAAATGAATATATCCGTGATAGGGTTGGTGTAGCTCCTGTGACGGACAAAATTAGAGAAAATCTTCTTAGATGTTTTGTTCACAGTAAATGTCGATCATTTGATGATCCGATTAGGAGAGTAGATGTTTTAGTTCGACTTGTGTTAAGAAAGGCAGAGGTAGATCTAGGAAGACTTGGGCTTATTGTATAAAAAATGATCTCAATTTACTAGAACTAAATGAAAATATGACACTAAATAGAACGCAATGGAGAAAAATGATACGTAGTGGGATTAAGGCTTTGTTGTTGTTGCTGTTGTTGTTTCTTTCTCATTTTAGCCAAAATGGTGAGCCCCTTCTTCTTTCCTCCCAATAAAAGCAAGTTATATTTTTTTCATTTGCATTTCATTTTTCATTGCAAAATCAAAGAGAAATTGGGTAAGAAGGATTTTACGAGTTTTCAGATTTTCATCATTGGTTATAAGTAAGTTTGATTGAAATTTCTTCAATTTATATTTTCATATTGCTTATAATATATGTTGTTGAAATTTATTGGTGAAATTATAGTTCATATTATTTATATTATATTGAAATGTTGTTGAAAGTTATTTTTTA